CCCCAAAACCCCAAAACCCCAAAACCCCAAAACCCCAAATGGGTTTATCCCTATTGGATTTATAAATATTATTCATCACCCAAGATGTCTTCAACTGGAAATCTGACCAAAGAAATGATGACTCTTGTCAAAGCAATTGGCGAGGCTAGATCTAAACAAGAGGAGGACAAAATAATCCTAACAGAAGCAGACAGGCTTAAGCAAAAGTTCAGGGAGAAGAACCTCAGTGAGAAAAGAATGAAGGATTTACTCATCAGATCCATCTATGTTGAAATGCTAGGCCATGATGGCTCATTTGCTCATATCCATGGGATCAATATGTCTCAGCAGAAGAATATCCTTAGCAAGAGGATTGGGTACCTTGCTTCTACCTTGTTCTTGGACGAAGATAATGACCTGAGCATTTTATTGGTTGCAACACTGCAAAGAGATCTAGAAAGTGACCAATATTTAGAGGTGTTAAGCTCCCTTCAAGCTATCAGTAGACTTGCTAATATCCAGATCATGACAGCAACAATTGCCCAAGTCAATAATTTACTGTCCCATCCTAGTGATTTTGTCAGGAAGAAAGCAGTCATGGTAATGTACAAATTCTGGCAAATAAAACCTAGCGGAGTAGAAGATATTGGAAAAATTATGAAGGGAGCTCTCTGTGATAAGGTACCCTCAGTTATGAGTGCTTCACTCAACTACTTCCATCATGTATGCAAGACTAATCCTGAGGACTACCGTGACCTAGCATCTAGCTTTGTTGTCATTCTTAAGCAAGTTGTTGAGCACAAGCTCCCAAGAGATTATGATTACCACAGAGCTCCAGCTCCTTGGATCCAGACCAAGATTATGGAGATACTCGGTTTCCTTGGAAAAGATGATGAGGATACTTCAAACCAGATCTATGAAGTAATCCAAACAGCTTTAAAAAGAGCAGAGGATCAGCCTATCAACATTGGGCATGCATTAGTATATCAATGCATCAAATGCATCCTGTCCCTGCACCCAAATGATTCCCTTCTAGAGCTTGTCAGTAAGTCAATTACCAAATTCTTCTCAAATGACTGAAACAATCTCAAATATGTGGGAGTGACTGCTCTGAATGCAATTCTGAAGGTGAACCTCAAATATGCTGAAGACCATCAAGAAAATGTCATCGAATGTCTCGAGTGATCAGATGACACTCTTAAGTTAAAGACTCTGGAGCTACTTCACACCATGACTAATGAGGATAATGTTGAAGCAATTACTGAGAAAATGCTCGAGCATCTCCAAGTTGCTCCAAGAAACTCAACAATTAGGAAAGATTTGGTCCAAAAGATATACCAATCTGTTGAAAAGTTCTCTCCAAGCAAGAGATGGTTCGTCAAAACTATGAATAAGTTATACGATATGGGAGCGGACCTTATCCCTCAGGATATCTCAAACAAGTTTATCAATGTTGTCTGCGAGCATGAAGCAGAATCAGGCTCATCAAAGTTTAGAGAGTCTTTGATCAAGATTAACAAGAAGGTACTCAAGAAGTCTCAATACATCCCTGATAGCCACATGAAAGTCCTTGTATACATGCTAGGAGAATTTGTACCTATGGACTCTGACAAGGAGAGAGCTGAGGAGATCATAGAGTTACTCTGAGAAGCCTCAGAAAACAACTTTGAGCATTTAAATACCATCGGATGGATCATCTCAGCTATCACAAAGATCCACATGTCCCTTAATTTTGGAAAGAATAAGAAAGTTAGCAAAGTTATTACCAAATATTCCCATTGCTCAGAGACTCATATTCAGCAAAGATGTCATGAGTATGATCAAATGAAGCTTGCTTTCGAAGCAGGGAGAACCAGTGTTAAAGATTCCTTGTTTACTCATCACTCAGACCTTCAGCCGTCCTCATTTGATTTTGAGCTCTCATTCCTCGATAGCTATGCCCAAGATTGTGTGAACCAAGGAGCAAGAACATATGATGTTGATATGAAAAATTCAGCAATTTCAATGACCGGATCCCATCATATTGCAGATAAAGAACTGAATTTCACACCATATGAGAAGCCAAAGAGAGCTGTGACTATCTCCACACAGCCTAGAGCAGAACTCAAAACTGCAACTTCAGAACCTGGGTCTGGCCCAAAACTTGCTCTCAAGATTAGCTCTAAGAAAGGAAGATGGACCAAGGAAGGATTCAAAGGACCTGAGGATGAGAAGCCTCAATTAACCATTCAGAAGACCTCAAGTAAGTATTTATGCCAGTCAACTCTCTAGCTGCTCCAAGCAAGCCAACTCTTAAAGTTCCTTCCACAGGAAAGGACTCTAAAGGCATCTTCAGCTCTAAGAAAGCCAAGCCTGAAAAAGATGAGAAGAAGAGTAAGCTAAAATCTGCACTCTTCGCTGGAGTATCCAAAAAGAATGACTCTGATGATTCATCATCAGACTCTGACTCTTCCTCAGATAGTGAAGAGGAGAGGAAGAAGTCAAAGAAGAAATCTAAGAAATCCAAGAAAAAGAGAAAACATTCTAGCGATGAAGACGATGAAGATGATGAAGAAAAGGGAACAGAAGAAACACAGAAAAATCAAACGCAAGCAGATGATTTATTGGGAATGGGCTCGCAGAATGAGTTTGATCCGCTACAGATGATGGAAGAGATGTCTGGTTCTCAACCAGCAACTACAGGAGCGACTCCTGGAGATTTACTAAATGATCCATCTTTTGCTAGTTCTATGACATCTCAGAATAATGCCTCTCCTGCTGCTGGAATGGCTCCTCAACAACCAACATCTGTATTTGGAACTTCAGGAGTACCACAAGGATACCCTGGTGGAGGAATGCAACCTGCACAGCCTCAGCCAGGTCATATGGGATACTCCGGAGCTCCAGGCCAGTACATGTACCCTGGAGGTCAAACCCCTGGCCAAGCTCCTCCTCAGCACACTCAAAGCCCTGCTGCAAGCAATGGCCAGGATGATAGTGATCCATTCAAAGATCTGATATAATCTCTACTTCATGTTACTTATAGCCAAATTCAAAATTCCTCAGGTTCAACTGCACCTGAGCCTTCTGGGGTTTTGGGGTTTTGGGGTTTTGGGGTTTTGGGG